TTCTTAAACAACCAGATCGATCAAAGTTATGCACCATCAACCTACTAATGTAAAGTTTTCACAAAAATTATAGATCATTTGGTGAGTTTAATGTATCTCGCTTAATTGGATGTAAGCCAAGAAATTACAATGACAGCCAATTCATCACTCTCTAGGTTCTTAAACAACCAGATCGATCAAAGTTATAGTCTTATGAATTATAGGAATTAATGTTGGATATTGCAAATACTTGTGCGAAATGCCCCAAGTTTTACGAGGGTCAAAATCCTAATCCATACGATTTTTAATTGTCTAAACTACTGCTACTATCATTCTGCTATTCTTAGAGTCTGTTTGGATTGTTATTTTTTGAATTTTTATAAAAAAAAGTCTTAAGAATTTGATGTATATGAGAAAAAAATAATTAAAAAATATAAAATTTTTTTGAAGGAAAAAAATAGCAATCTAAACAAGCTAGTAGTATAGTGTTTGTTTGATTTCCAGCCCTTGGTGGCTAATTTTTGTGACTCAAATTTGTGTATTATTTGGCTTTTGAGTCTCCAAGAAGTTGAGGGCATTTGTCATCAAAAAACTGTCCGGATTCGATTTTTCCCACTGCGTGTTTAATTGTGCTATCACTCTTTCAACTTTAATTTTTATATATATTTTTTCTTATATAAAAAATAGACTACTTGTCGTGTAAATGCAGAGAATCGTGGTGGTTGCGAATATGCCCGACGGAATCTAATGAGCACTATTGGGCCAATTGGGAGTGTCGGAACGCGCATACTTTTCACTTGCAGCCATGGGCCATGGCCTCAGAGGCCTACACACAACACTGCCAAACGCTTTTATTTTGTTGGGGCCAGCAGGTTTAGGATAGGGCCTGCTTCAAAAAGCCACCAGCCTACACCATCCATGATCCACATGCATGTTGGACTTACAAATTAACCTTGGTTGGATTGTGGTTTTTTGGAGAAAAAAAAATAAATAAAAATTTACGTTTTCGGTGAACACATTTATCAATTATTATTTTTTTTTACCTAAAACACACCAAATTCAGACCGTATATTTTCTTACAAAAAATTCTAAAAATAACAATCCAAACAAGGCCTTGAATGGAAATTAAGGAAAATAAAAATTTTCAAGATATTTCTAAGAACTTGAGGAATGCTAAAGGGACGGTGGCTGTCTCCCAGAGAGAGAATTTCTTTGAGCTTAGGTAACAGCAATTAATGTATGGAAATTATATATTTCTCTTCTTTGCACTTGTGTCGAATTGGCTTGATGTGCACCGCACCTTTTGTTTTTGGGTTTCCCAAAGAATGCGTTATTTGTTGGTACATCGTTTTCAACTAGCTCCAGATGATCCCAAGTCCCAGGAAGAGTCCAAACTTCCACCACGTATCGCATCAGATTATCAGTAAACTAACACCTAGCAACCCCAATGGTCCAAAGCCTCAGAATTCAGCAATGAAGCATCTCCTGGGATTCTGGGACTGCCGTTTCGTTTCTCCTTCTCGCATCTCCTTCCCTTCTGTTACATATCAAATCTGTTTGGATTTAGGAGCTTTTGGCTACCGCATGATAAAAGGCACTATACAGATATATAGGAAACTACGGGCAACTAAGGGTTTGTTTCGGTTGAAACTAACTACGCACTTCTTCCCATGCAAAATAAGAAAATTTATCTCATTGTTTAACTTTAAAAAATTTCGGAGAAATGTATATATGAATAAAAAATTTCTCCTTAAGCAATAAACAAATTGCTGGCCATTTAGTGTCAAATATCAATCACATGCAATGCTTATTGTGACATATATCTTGCACTCTCACTGTTGAAAGTTTCTATAGAAAAGAATGTCCCTATTATACATAATTAATTACTAGCATAGGATGAGCAGGATGAGGTTTTTTTTTTTTTTTTGAATATACTAGGAGGAGGGTTGGGTTGAGCGGTACGAGGGAGGAAGTGTAAGGAAGAGATCTTTGGTTCAATTCCTCCTATTTATACTATAAAAAAAAAAGGAACATACTACAAGATATTTTCAGTAAGTTTGGAACATACTACAGGCGGGATGCATGCATTTCGAAAAACAACTTCAGTAAGTTTGGAAGGGAAGTTGTTTTCCATAAGATGAGTGAAAATATTTTACATAGAAAAATGTTTTCAGTAACTTTTGTGTAATCAAACACGGAAAATTAGAAAAATATTTTCACTCGAAACAAACGGACCCTAAATGCAAAATTTTTTAATTTTAACCACAAAACACCATTTATCTCGGCGCACCAAAGTCGACGTACGACTAACAAAAACAATATTGGAAAGATGGTTGATTGCAACCATGCTAGACTAAAGGACAAACGAGAACCTAGAGGACAGCTTACTTTTTTGGAGTTCTGAAACCAATTGTGGGAACCACCCAATTTGAGAAGAAGTCATTGTTGGTGGGAACCAATTTCTGCTACCTTTTTGCAACTTGGTAGAAGGACAGTTTACATAGAGAGGAAGAAGAGGAAGGGGAGGGCTTTGGAGTTTAAAAAAAAAAAAAAAAAAAAAAGGGAGGAGAAACAACATGGGCATGTGAAAAGGTGGGTAGTCGTGGACTCTTTCGTTACCTTCCTTTTCGTTTAGGCAAAGACGCTGGATACGATTGAGCTTTTTCTCAGACGTCGGTTGTGTGTGGCTCTCTTTCCTTATCCCTTAGAATCAAATTCCTTCTACCTAAGCATTCCTCTAGCACTAATGCGCTATATATTTCATGGCCTATCTCTTCATTCGCTCTCCTCTATTAGTCCCTAAAGCTCAGCATTGCAAAGAAAAATGGCCGATCAAGAGATCGGTCGATCAAATGACGTCCAGTCCTGGCCACAACTGGAACTACCTGACTTCTTGTACACTGACGCCATTCAAGAAATCCACAGAGCTATACAAAATGACTGGGATGCCACCCGCCAATCAGCATGTCAGACTGCAGCTGGAAGAGCGTTGTGGAAGCATGCCGTCCATGATCCACTAGCCGAATTGCTAGCCGGAGAGACAAGCTTGAGGACTGCGCATGAAAAGATCAAGAAAGATCGCCTCAACAATGCCAGAGAAGTATCTGGAGTTATTCTTGCTGTTAGGACCCTCTGGTTTGATTCAAAAATTGAAGCAGCTCTCAATTCCTTTGGTGGTGGAGCAGCGCAGATTGTCCTCCTTGGTGCAGGTGAACCCCTTCACTAACCTGCTGCATTTGCACTTTCACTTTTAGTGTCAGATGGGAATAAAAAAATAAAAAAATCAACTTGTTTCTTCTTGCACCTATGGAAGATGCGAAGCATTACAACCAAAGCTAGTTAGTAACAATTGAGTTGAAGCATCAAATTCATTTAAGCGAATTGATGGATAGCAAATGCATATTTCATAGACGATCCATTGGTTTGGTTAGATACAGAGGATCGGAGCGAGCATGCTAATAATCATGGTTAATTCATTTGATGTGCTTTTCAGGGGAAGGGGAAATGCAAGACAGTCTTATAGTATGCGGTACCTATTAAATCAAGAACTCGTAATGCTTCAGACAAGGGATTCAGAGTCCAGTTCCTACAGAACCAAACCTTTCACAATGTTACTCAAATAAAAAACAATGTTTATTTTGCAAAATGTTACATATTTTCCAGCAACTCTTTTCTCCAATAAGTACAATATCTGCCCAGATTAAACTTTTGCAAATCACGTGCAGTTAGAGGAAAGATTAAATGCTCTCGTCCCTGTATCAGGCGCTTCTCTTGATACTTTCTAAGCCAGTCAAAATTTTCTGCTTACCCTGCAGGTATGGATACAAGGGCCTATCGCTTGAGTTGCTTGAAAGAAAGCAGTATTTTTGAGGTTGATTTCCCTGAGGTCCTGCAAACAAAAACCACTATACTACAAGCAGCAGCAGATTCAACAACTGAAAATCAGAATCCATTATTGACAGCAAAATCATTAAACAGAGTGCCAGCTGATATTAGTGAAAATGACTGGCTACAAAAGCTTCAGAAAGTGGGATTTGAACCCAGGAAGAATACAGTGTGGGTATTAGAAGGTATTCTGTACTATCTAACACACTCTGACGCCGTTGAAGTACTGAAGATCATTGCAGAGAATTGCAATCTCACACAAACAGTCCTACTAGCAGACTTCATGAACAAGCAATCAACCACGTTGTGCGGCTCTGTCTTCCGTTTCTATTGTGATTGGCCGGAACAATTGCTGCCATCTCTTGGTTTCTCTGATGTTAAGCTCTCTCAAATTGGTGATCCAGATGCACACTTCGGCCTGTTGCATGATCCATTAAACTTGTTCAACAAATTGCGAGCCTTGCCCAGATCTCTTCAAACTCACCCAGATGATGGAACACCATGCTGTCGGCTATATTTGGTCCAAGCCTCTGGCTTACCCAATCAAACTATTCAATGAACCAAGTCCAACTATTAAGATTTATACTAGCCTAACTTTCAGTATATAGATACAGGTTCAAGCGCAATCGTTTTTTACTGTTCCCAGGAGTATAGCAGTGCAAACTGCATTCCAGTGACAAAATAATGATATAGTTCTACAAATTATGGTGATTTCCAATCAATTATCTGTTCCTTTGGGAGGCTGAGGTAAAGGAGACGATGACAACACAACCAGTCCGATTGCATTCTTTGAATGTATAAATTACCTGCGGAGTTCTTGACAACATAGCAAAGATCACTTAGGAAACCACATGGCATCTTTATTATTGGTTGGACTTCTATAACATGTCAGATTACGTTCTCTGCCAACCTGACCATCTTAAATTCTTTCTCAACAGCTAAGAAAAATGAAAGCAGCCAACTTGTGTGCAGGTATATGATGAAAAAATAAAAAAGAAAAACCATATTTGTAACATTTGAAGTCAGTTTCTATTCAGTATAGTTTTTTTGGTCAGATAACATCAAATAATAACACATTTTACACACATTAGCTGTTAAGAGGTTAGTAGGTATAAGTAGGTATTCCAAAGTAAATACGTTAATGAAACAATGCATTTACTAAATTACCTGTCAGATGCTCATAAGCTAAGGGGCATAAGCCAGTCTATGTTTTTGAACCATTTCAGTTTGCACTAAGATTTTGGCTGGAATAATATACATATTGTCACAAAATGAGAACATAAATAAAGAAAGACAAAATTGAACTAATAAAAAGCAGTCCCAACTTTCAACCATGATGTAAATAAAGAAACACGAAATTGAACTAATAAAAAACAGCCCCAACTTTCAACGATGACATTCTTGGACCTCCTCTTTGCAATATATTTAATAAGTGATTCACCGTTAAAATCTTTCTTGCTCTTTTTTCTTTTCAGAATCCAGTATCTGAACATTAAATTTCAAGGCAATCTTTGATTCCCTGCTCAAAGTTGTCAAGGGAATATAATGCATCCATAAGAGCATTTGCAACTCTTTGCCTGCAGAAATGGGTGAAGCAGAAAGCATTGGTCAAGACACAAGTTTTAAAATGCTGGAAATTCATAAAGTTCATATTACAATACCTGTTTGAAGCAGCTTGACCACCTATTTCATTGGTCATATCACTGAGAGAAGTAAACGATCTACAGTTGTTAAGCAAAGAAAATATCATTGACAAATTTAGCTGGAGGGATTCTGAGAAGATATGGTTTCATTACGTTGCATTCATTTCTAGCAGTCTAAATATGACTAACTGAAAGATGCACGATGCATCTCATTTGGACAGACCCTAATCCCCATCACCTTGTAAGTGCAGAAATGTCTCCACTAGTCGTCAAACAGGTAGGAGATATAAAGAACTGAAATTTTGGACAACTAAATTGTGAATTCAACGCTATGCACAAGTCTGAGGCTCAATTAGCCAGCTATGAAAAGAGATTTTCAGCTGACCAACCTAAATTGAAGAAACATAAACTAATGACCTTCACAAGTCATCCATGACCATGTCAAAATGTGAACAGATTGTAAAATGTCAATTTTCAGCAAAATTTGACAAAAAAATACTATGAATTTGGTACCTTATCAGATCAGTGAGCTTGGATTCAGCTTCTAACTTTGTGGGATCTTTATCATCAAGCAAAGAAGATGCATTATTCACAATTAACCGGAAGGTGCAGACCTGAGGTTTAGACTGCTCCAGTTAGCATCTGATTTAATATGCAAAATATAGACCTATTCATTGCCATTCTTATATTCTATTTTTGCCTCGATTTTCTAAGGTGGATACTCCACATTTACCCAACCAAGCTTCTACAATTTGTCAAATGCTATAGTACTATTTAAAAGAGGAGGATAATGCTTATCCGATTTCAAGTAGTAATTTATACTTAAATTCAAAAAATTAAGAAGGTAACTACTGCAAAAGATATCAATACGTAAATCAGTAAATAAGAGAAAGTAACCTCTACTCCAGTCTTAGCTTGGAAAGCCACAAATGAATTCCTTTGTTCAGCCACACAATCTCTAGTAGCAGATTTCACCAACTTTTTAACTTCTTCCAAGTCATTCTCCTCATAGTCCGTTTCACCCTTAGCTAACCCCACAACAAAAACAAACAAAAATCCAATTAGACTGGCATATTAGTAAATAAAACAGAAGGAATAATTGCAGAAACAGCGAAAAAGGGAGAGGAATATGTACTCATTAGAAGATAGGCAGAGCGGAGGATGTTCCGAGAAGCATCAACCGGAGCTAACAGGAATTTGGACGACTTCTTCTTTTGTTCTTTCAGCCAATTCTTCGGTCCTGCTGAGACATTCATTAATTGTAGTAGGGAGAAATTCATAATCAATACCTACCCACGAAATTCATAATCACTTTGACAAAAGAATTGACAATGAAAAAAGCAAAAGAGTGGAGGAGATTCAGGAGCAGCAGGTAGCTTACAGATGCCGAGGGAGAATGCGGAAGCTGTGGGCGGGTCATGCACTGAAAGAAGTAGAGGAGGGACGGTTAAAATTGAGAGCAAAAAGGCTGCGCGTCGGCGTGAGACTGCGATGGTTTCATGAGGGGACGGGGTGGGGGAGAGGTGAAGTGGTGAGACTGGCGCGGGTGATTTTGGAAGGAATGGGGCGGCGAGGGTGGTGCTAGGGATAACTGGAGAGTGAGTTGGTGGTGCTGGCGGTGGCATTTTGGCCGTTGGTTGAAATTGGCTCCATCTAACGAAATAACTGACGTTTAAAAAGAAAAAGCGCTGGAAAAAGAAAATAACTGACCTTTAAAAAGGAAAAAGCTCTGAGAAAAAGAAAAAGGAGAATAACTGACGTTTAAAGACAGAAAGCGCTGGGAAAAAGAAAAGGAGGAGATGGAAATGGAGATGCGGGGGATCGAACCCCGTGCCTCTCGCATGCAAAGCGAGCGCTCTACCATTTGAGCTACATCCCCGGTGATCAACGTCGTTTTTATTATACATAATAAAAACTAAGATAAAATAGAGAAAAAGAAAATGTATCCAACAAGTGGAAAGTCGGAAGCTACTCTTCATATCAGAGCCAGGTTTCGATCCTGGGACCTGTGGGTTATGGGCCCACCACGCTTCCGCTGCGCCACTCTGATTTATTGAGATGGAATGCTATCTAAAAACTTTAATAGTATCATAAAGAGACGAAGTTCAGAAATTCTGTCCCTTAGTGTCGTGCGACCACTTATTTAGTCGCAACGATAGAATTTCTATAAACTAATCTAACATATTATGCAAAATTTCGAAGCTGGTTAAAAAAATGATGGTTTATAATTTTGGAAAGTTTTTGTTTTACGAATTTTTCAACTCATAGCCGGCGCCTGATATGGTCTGCATAAAGGGTTCATTTTAGTACCAGAAATAAAAACGTGCTATAAAATGCCATTAAAAGCTTGAAGTTTTATGTTCTGGTAGAAGACCACTTTTGCTCTTTCTTCTTCTAGTTTTCTAAATATTGGACCCAAAAAAAGAAAAAGGCAACAAAAAATTATACAAAGTGAGGGCATAACTTTGCAGTTTATTCCCATGTTCGGATATTCCCATGCTGCGAAGCACAGAAGCAGGAATCCAGATGAGCATCTGATGCAGAATTTCTGTTACACGTTCCATCTGCGCATATGCTGCTTCTTCTATTAGTAATTTTTTTATGTCTATATGTTCTCCACATTTTATAATATTGAAATTAGATCAATAAGCTTTCTATTATACTATTTGAATAAATGAACTAAGCACTATTATAGATAATCAAAAGAACCAATTGGCTGTACCAGTTATCTTGTTAGCTTTGTGGCCTATATTGTCTTCGGGTTCTCTTCTGAAATATAAAATGAAATGCAAATCCAAAAAAAAATCGAAGGAAACCAATTTACTGAATCAATTTTATTTTCCGAATCCTTACGAAGTAAAAAAAAAAAAAAAAAAAAGGTTTGATTTCTCCATAAAGTTTACCCTTCAAATTATTTTTGAACACTTCTGGACAAAGAGGTTGACTATCTATTGCTTTCGTAAAAAACTAAAAAGAAAAATAAATAATTGACTGCTTTCCAAGAAAATTACAAACAAGCTAGGTGTTACAATTTTACTACTGTATAGATAAAAGTTCATTTTTAGCATGTGACATAGAAAGCGTTACTTTGATCGTTTTCTTGCTCTAGCCAAACAAAGATTACCATTACAAAAAAACCGTGAATTTTGCAACAACTTGCATCCCATCACTTACACATTAAAATTAGATATTGAATACCAAGAATGATGACTAAAAGAATTTATTTAACTGGTGCTCAATTTAACATCAATTAAGACCGACATTTAATGTTGGCTCAATAACAAAAAAAAAAAAAAAGGACGAACATTTTATGTTAGCTTTTTAGAGAAATAAAAAATTAATTAGAAAAAAAGTCAAAAATATAAGAAAGGGTAAGAAATTAAGTACACTTTTTTAGATAATTAAATTAGACAGATTAAGTGTACAATATCTATTAAACATTCGTTAAGTATACTCTTACCCCTAATCTAGTACGAGTTTTCACATTTTTTTCTCATGTTAACTTTTTCTTTTGAAGTTTTCACTAGACATATGCATGATGACGTTAGCTGTTTCACTGGGCATCACAAACCTCCAAAGAAAATAAGAGATCATTATCAAGACTCAAGAAGAATCTTCAGTTCGATTCCAATACTAATCAAAGGAAAATCAGCCAACAAAATGAAAGGACAGAATTCTTGATTACCAACGTCTGTGTCCTTGGTTTGATTCAAATACTAAGAAATCACCAACTATGAGAATCGGTAATAATCCAAGCCATCATCCTACAATAAAGTCTCCTATGACCATTTTAGGTAGTCTGAGCCTGCACAAGTGAAAGTACTTAACTTTTTACAGATTCTTCGATAATGATTTAAGAAATCATAAGAAATCATCAATTATGAGAACTAGTAATAATCAACTATCATCCTACAATAAAGTCTCCTATGGCCATTTAAGGTAGTCTGAGCCTGCAAAAGTTAAAGTATTTAAAGATGTTTACAAATATTTCATTTGTGACTCCGGCTTGGTTTCAGGATAATTGAGATTTTTACAAATTCTTCATTTGCGTTTCCGAATAATGTTTCACTAGCATTCTCCTTCAGTTGCTCTTTCATTTTCATCTCTTTGCTATCTTTCTGTTCAAACTGCAAATGAATTTTTCTTTTTAGCTTAGTTTTCAATTTTGCATAATACCTAACAAACCACCACCAAACACTGTCTCTCAGTGCATTTTTTATCTTCAAAAGAAGTTACATAATCCGAATACTGTACTGCAACGGGTAGTTGTTTACAAAAGAAATAATGTCTTGCTCGCTAGCTGTACGATTGTTGTAAAAGAAACCTATGGCACCAGCTAAATATATGCTTGCCGTACTGATTTTTTTTCAACACAACAGCATCTTGGATTTTTTTTTTAATGACGTGCTACCACGTTGAATATTTCATTTTTATGGGGACTATGTTAGCTAGGTTGAAAGAGAATTATTGATAAATGGGTGGAGTAAGAGTAATCCAAACCAAATAGGGTTGAACATTTCCATGGAATCCATTCTACATTGTCAAAATTGGCATGAATTGACTTTGGACGGGAACAAGGGAAAGACATACTTATAAATGGTGTTTAGGAGAATATAAATTTGAATTTGCATTTATCTTCCTCCCTTCACGCGCCTTTGTTGACAAATGAAATAGAAATTCACACGGAAGAGAAAACAATTGTTTTAAAAAATTGGACATTATAATTAGACATTTATTATTAAAGTCTTATAAATAATATCCATAAATATTGAAATAAATACGATTCATTAATTAATGCATGTAGTATGATCATATCTCTATTTATAGATATTGAATTGATATTAAGTCCCCAGTAGCAAGTGACTTAACAAATTACATGTAAAAGCGAAAAAATTTCGAAAAAATGTTGTAAAGTATTCTAACAAATTCCAGTAATTTTTTTTCTACAACATTTTGATACGTAACAAAAAAAAGAAAAAGAAAATAATATTTCATGGTCACCGCATTTTAGACGTGTAGCGACCCTATGTGAGGAAGAGGTTCCCACATAACACAAAAAAATGTGATATTTTTCGAAATGAGCATTATTGGTAGAAATTTGTGAAAAAAATAATTTCCTTTTTCTTTTCCCCTTTTAGCTTTTCGTGAGGAAATCGGAATTGGTCTTCAATCCATCCAATTATATTCATTACATGAAGTTGATTTATTTTTTATTCATTTCTTGATATCAAACTACTAATATGAGAGAAATGGAATGAAAGGGGTAATCAATTAAGGTCTTAGTGTTTTACCTAAGAAAAAAAAACCTCACACTAAAATCTTGATAAAATTTGCAATGTTAACTATTGGGACCAATTTTAATCCATTCTGGAGCTTATATTTTTGGTGTCGATAATTTATTTTTAAAATCAAATGTGATAAATAGTGGTTTTCGAGAGGCACCTTAAACAATATACTCCTTATTATAACATGAGAAGATAGGCTAGAGATTCTTGACGAGTCATAAAAAGCACGTAGCAATTTGAATTCATCAATTGACAGTAGACTCCTAAATGGTATGGAACGACATTTGAGATTGGTTTTGCCGGTTTTTGAAGGTTGTTCGGAGAATTAGATTTATTTATGGGATAATTGCAGAAACCTCCCTTGAGATTTCTGACATTTGCACTGACCTCCCCTCTAGGTTTCGAAATTGCATTCACCTCCCCTGAACAGTAACAATTCGTTGCAAAAACCTCCCTGACAGCTTTTGTAGAAGTGAGATAAGAAATTTCTTCCAATTTTGCCCTCTTCTTGCTTGACAATTATTATTTGCTTGACAATTGCTTAACTAATTATCTAATTAGTTAATAGTTAAACTAATTAACTATTAACTAATTATCTGATTAATTATTAATTAATTAACTAATTATCTAGTTAATTAATTAACTAATTAACTAATTTCTATTTATCTAATTAACTGCTTAACTAATTAACTAAAGCTATTGTCTGTCCGAAACTAACAAACTATTTGCACGTTAAACTAATTAACTAATTAACTGCTTAACTAATCAACTAATTAACTAACTAACTAATTAACAGACTATTTGCATGTTAAACTATATGCAGTACGCATTACCTATTTAAAGTATCGGCTCTTTATGAGTATTTTATTTTCAAACATTTAATTTATGATAAAAACATCAATGTTTGTAAGTAAAATTTAAAAAGTGTTACAGTAATATTCTTACAAAAAGGGTGGGGCATAGGGCCATAAATTAAATGTTTGAAAGTAAGAATATTGATATTTTTTGTAATATTCTTACTTTCAAACATTTAATTTATGGCCCTACACCCCACCCTTTTTGTAAGAATATTACTGTAACACTTTTTGAATTTTACTTACAAACATTGATATTTTTATCATAAATTAAATGTTTGAAAGTAAAATACCTATAAAGAGCCGATACTTTAAATAGGTAATGCGTACTGCATATAGTTTAACATGCAAATAGTTTGTTAATTAGTTAGCTAATTAATTAGGTAATTAGTTAATTAGATAATTAATTAGTTAATTAGTTAAGCAGTTAATTAGTTAATTAGTTTAACATGCAAATAGTTTGTTAGTTTCGGATAGACAACAGCTTTAGTTAATTAGTTAATTAGATAAACAAAAATTAGTTAATTAGTTAATTAATTAGATAATTAGTTAGTTAATTAGTTAAGTAGTTAATTAGTTAATTAGTTTAACATGCAAATAGTTTTTAGTTTCGGACAGACAACAGCTTTAGTTAATTAGTTAATTAGTTAAGCAGTTAACTAGTTTAACATGCAAATAGTTTGTTAGTTTCGGATAGACAACAACTTTAGTTAATTAGATAATTAGATAAATAAAAATTAGTTAATTAATTAATTGGATAATTAGTTAGTTAATTAGTTTAACATGCAAATAGTTTGTTAGTTTAGGATAGACAACAGTTTTAGTTAATTAGTTAATTAGTTAAGCAGCTAATTAGTTAATTAGTTTAACATGCAAATAGTTTGTTAGTTTCGGATAGACAACAACTTTAGTTAATTAGTTAATTAGATAAACAAAAATTAGTTAATTAGTTAATTAATTAATTAGATAATTAGGTAGTTAATTAGTTAAGTAGCTAATTAGTTAATTAGTTTAACATGCAAATAGTTTATTAGTTTCGAACAGACAACAGCTTTAGTTACTTAGTTAATTAGATAAATAGAGATTAGCTAATTAGATAAATAGAAATTAGTTAATTAGTTAATTAGTTAATAGTTAATTAGATAATTAGTTAATAGTTAATTAGTTTAATTATGCAGAAATAGTTTGATTAGTTAATAACTATTAATAATTAGATAATTAGTTACTTAGTTAATAGTTAATAGTTAATTAGATAATTAGTTATTAATTAATTAGATTATTAGTTATTTAGTTAATTAGTTAATTAGTTAAACTATGCAGAAATAGTTAATTTAGTGTAATTTTTATTAACAAATGTTTTGTTGGGTTTGATGAAAGTACTCATCACATGCATTTGGTAAAATTAAATCATGTCAGGGGTACTTTAGTAAATTGACCCACTCTTACCTATTAAATTGCCTCAAACTTTTGATAGGGGAGGTCAGTGCTATTTCAAAATTAATAGGGGAGGTCAATGCTATTACTATAAAAGTCAGGGGAGGTTTATGCAATTATCCCTTTATTTATTCCAAAAAGTCTAAGTTTCCTCAGCTTTGACAAAAGACAGAAAATTCATTATCAGGAGGCTTGGGGAGTCTTTACTTTTTAGCAGCGGGGCACCCTGTGGGGTTTTCTATCCCATATCGGAATTGGGGGGTTGGGTTGATGGGTAGATAAGTCCCCTGGACGCCTTCAAAAGTTGCCGATTTTTAAAGGTTATTCGAAGAATTAGGTTTATTTATTCCAAAAAGTCTGAGTTTCCTCAGCTTTGGCAAAAGACATTTGAGATTGGTTTGTTTGGCATTAAAAAATTTCAAGATGCTGTCGTGCACAATAGCTCTCTAAATAAAAAAATAATAATAATTTTTGCCTGCCAGCACCACAGGCATGTATTTAGAACATGGCTTTGTCCAAAAAGCATTTATGCGACTTTTTTTTTTATTTTTTTGGATAATATTTAAAGAATTACCCATATAGATAGACACCAGACATGGACATTTTCTTCTCATAATAGCTTTTTTAACCACTAAATTTTGGCTCAGTGGTCACCAAAAAGAGATGTAAGTCAGGGTTCAAATTCCACTCATTTGATCTAGTTAAATTTATATACCTGCTAATTTTTTATATAGATTTTTTAGATTCCCTTCCTTGCAAAATAGGATATATCAGGTTATATAAATTTTATCGCGAGACTCCCGTTCCCTTACATGGTCTCTTTAGACTCTCTCTTACTATAAAATAGGATATATTAGATTATAAAAATATTATCGCGAAGCTCTCTCCTTGTAGAATAGGATATATTAGGTTATAAAAATATTATCGTTACAGAAAAAAAAACTCCTCCCTTGTAGGATAGGATAAATTCTATAGTAGATTATAGAAATGTTGTTGCTGTAGCAAAATCGAGACCCAAGAAGACTCTTTAGAAGGCCAAAATTCATCTTATTTTACCGGTGAAAGAAAATTCTGGATAACGTTAACCACACAATACACGAAGGAAAAATAAAAATGTGCCAAAATATTCGAGGCATCGTACCCATCGAACAGTCCACGTCGATTGCCCCAGCCAAATGTAACCCAATCCTGCCCGCTGACTTTCTCCTTCCTCCGTTCCATTCTCTCTTGAATTTGTTGTGCAAGTTCCAACCCCAGCCCCCGGACGCGTACAACACCACTGTACATACAATCAAACAAGGGGGAAAAAAAAGAAAAGAAAAACTGTTAAAATCACTCTCGCAATCACACCGCCGTCAAAAATTACCGCAACCGAGGCGTCACCCACCGCCGCCACCTGACACTGGACTAACCATCCACGTGTGAGTTCCAGTGCGTTAAAGTATTTGCTGATCCGGTGGGAAAGGGAGGATTGGATTCTCAATTCTGTTTCCTTTCGGTAAGCTGGAAAAGCCATGCAAAACAGGATTTAATCAGCTTTAAATGCCTCAAGTATTAGCAAATCCAATTACTACATCAGCACAAGCAGCAATATCGCTGGGAAGAAGGCGTGGCTTTATAGCAAAAGAGAAGGAGAGGATTGGTGGCTCAGGGATCAGTATAGTTAAGGGAGCGGTGGAATCCGTGTCGGTATTCGTAACCGTATCCGTATCTGTATTAGTATCCGATTCCTCATCTTCTAGTAAATCTGCTGGCCTTCCCAAAATTGCATCATCAACATCTCCAAAATCCAAATGTCTATTTAAGTTGAAGATGCGAATTCCCAAGCGTCCTCTTCCTGTTTCCGTCTCCCGCTGCCTTTCTTACCTTTTCTCTCCTCCTCCCGACCTACTACTCTTTTCTTCCTCCTCCTCTTCTTATCCTTCTTTCTCTACATTTCTCCATTTCCATTCCAGAATTCTCGCTTCAACTTGTATTTCTCGTCGTTCTTCTGACGCAGCCAAATTCCTCCGTCCTAAAGGTTTGTGCTTTCTTTTTTACTATTTCCTCCTTTTTTTTTTCAATCATTGGATTGCACCTCTTTGCCTTCTTTTTAGCACTTTTTATTAGCTGTTAACTTTAGACCCTGGCCATCATCATTATTGTTCATTGATTGGCAGTTCTTGAATTGTCAAAGTTTTTGTTCTTGAAGAGGGGAATGCTTGTTTCTTTAATGGTATCGTTTTTGGATGCCATGTTTCATGTCAACATGCATGCTTGTTTTGCTGTTATATTTCTGATGTATATTGCCTTTCTTCTAGTTTTTGTTAAAGTTGTTGCTTTTTTCTTATTTCAATAATTCACTCTTTAACTATTTTTTAGTCCGTTCTCCGTTCCTTGAAATTTCAATCGTTCTGATTTTCTGAGTCCCTTTCTAAATTTTCTAGGATTCAAGTTTATCAATCAATTGTGCATGCATGTTGTTTATTCATTTAAATAATTCTTTTAAAATCTGTCCTAACAATTTCAACAAAATTTTGTTTCGACTTTTCTTTTTCTTTCATTTTAACGGGGATTAAAATATCAGTGCTTGATGGTGTGCCTCCTTTCCTTGGCTGTAGTTTTAAACTTATTAGGAAATAGATATTACAGGCTTATTTGGGTTTAATGAGTTTTTTACTATACGGTTGTCAGGATTGAAATTGCTGTTCGTGGGATAAAAGTTGTCCCAGCTGTAAAACATGTTGGGTCATAAGTAGAAAGAAATGAATAGGGATGAAATGTTTATGATCAATGCTGTTCACTAAAAAGTTATCTTGTTATTGATTTGTCCTAGAGTTGGCCTTTTCGGGGTCTCCATGTTTATCTTTTTATCACTCTGGTCTGCATGGTTTGGTTTGCTATTTACATTCGGGGAAATTTGGTGCTTATGAATTTTCTGGATTAGTCATGACATGTGATAGCGGAAATTCAGTTAGTGGATTGCCTAAGAGTGAAAGATTTGTTAAATATAGGTGTCCCCTGGAGCATATCTTGGAGTATAGGCTTACAAGTTGGAACCTAACTCCGTGCCTCGTTGTTCATTTACAATTATATCTGAAGGTAAGCTGCTAAAATTTTGGCTGTGGGACAGAATCTTTTCCTTTCTTCTTTCCCTCTTGGTGTAAAGTTCAAATTTGAGGCTATAATGCTTTCATGAAATTCACTGAAGTGGGTCAGTATATTTATGTTGCCTTTTGTAAGTCATCACACTTGCGAATTTTGGTTGTTTTAAGTTTATAAGTAAAACTGACAAGGTTAAGTTACTTGCTTAGTCCATTTTTACTTTCTCTGTGCCTTGTTTTCCTTCCCTTGTCTACTTAGTCAATGGCTATTATCATGCACTTTGTTTGATAAGCAGGCTTGACTTCATGTAACATGATCTTTACTGTATATAGTTTCTTTGTGAAATATAGCAGGAAGTAAACAGATGCATACTGGCAGTAAAATGGATGGGACTGACTTAGATGGCAAAACTTCAGACTTTGAGAGAACCACCGGCAGATTTGGTGGTCAGCACCCTCATATATGGTCGTCTCCTGAAGGAGGGCATAAAATTGACATAGGAAAACAAATCTTCTGCAATAGATCTTTAAACATGAAGAATATTGTTGCTGTCGGATTTGACATGGATTACACTTTGGCACAATACAAGCCCGAGACTTTTGAATCTCTGGCTTATGGAGGCACAGTCAGAAAGCTAGTTTATGATCTAGGGTACCCTTCGGAGGTTCGTACACAAACTTGAGCTTGTACTTGATTATGAGAAAGGGTCTCTAACCTGATTTGCCTTGGGTAATACTAAATCTTTTATAAGGAGTAAATTCTGAAATAGTGGCACTTTTCAAAAAGAGTTCGCAAATAGTGAGAATTCGAAACAATGTATTCACTGAATGCGTCTTTTAAACAATGCCTTTAGTGAATGCGTTTGTTAAGGAAAAATGCCTAGACAAATAAAAGAATGGACCTTTTAATGCTTTGGCTCTGAAGCAAGAAATATAGCCTTTTAACTAATTTGGGTTCTTTGTAGTTGTTGGAATGGACCTTTGATTGGAAGTACATGGTCAGAGGTTTAGTTCTTGACAAAAAGAGAGGCAATATTTTGAAGGTTCGTATTCAAGGCTGTTAAAAAAGGTTTTGGTATCAGTTAAGTTTATGTGCTCCACATAGGGCAAGTATAACACTAACAACCCTCTTTATTTGTTATATCTCAGATGGATAGACACAAGTATGTCAAAGTAGCTTACCATGGATTTAGGGAGATGTCAAAGGAAGATAAAGTTGCTACCTATGGAAGTACTTTGATACGGGACTCATTTGATGAGCCAGATTATGCTCTCATTGATACTCTTTTTTCACTGGCCGAAGCCTATCTCTTTGCTCAGCTTGTGGACTTCAAGGATAACAATCCTGGAAAACTTCTGGGCAGGGTAGAGTAAGAGACTTACCATAGCTTTCAGATATTTTGATGTTATGTCAGAAATTCACTCTCTGCTTCTAACTTCAATTAGTTTAAGACCTTGTGCTGTGACTATGTTGGTTCTGGGGATATTGATATTGGTAACTTTGTTCCTTGTGTAATACATGTTTTGGTATTCATAGACACAGACACCTTTTGGGAAGGATAATTAGTGGTTTCTGAATTATTAGTACGTAAAGACATTTGAGCTGCCTACGCATTAGGTAATCATTTTTGGAAAGTATTTGAGATCATAGATAACGTTTTCCTTGTACTGCTTGATATTTAATTCTCAACCTCATGCAGATTAGGTTGCTTAACAGTGTACAACAACTGAATATACGGACAATTTAAGTACATCTAATTCAAAACCAGCATTAATAGCATGAAACCCAGTCAGAAATGCAGCATAGCAAAGCTTATCGTCATATCAAACTTACTGATTCTATTAGATTGTTTCTTGAAAATGAACTCGTGCTACGCATCTGCATATCATCAAATGATAAGAATTTAGCTAGTTATACAGTTGTCATTTTTCTCCTCGCTTTCTGAGTTTTCTAAATTCCTATATGATTACAGCTACTCTCAAATGTACAAGGATGTTAGAGCTGCAGTGGACCTGTGCCATCGTGATGGGACTTTGAAGCAGATGGTTGCTGAAGATCCTAAAAGGTATTCAGAATGGTTCTTTCATTGATATCATATGTGAACGTATAATTTTTTTACTTTTTAATGTAAAAGATAGCATTGTATGCTGGTTTTAAAATGTTTGGACATAACTTTACAGTGTCTAGTAGTTATAATATTTTCTTTCATCTGAAGTGATATTTATCTGTATTTTGTGCTACTTATCAGGTATATTAATGAGGATACTGCAATTGTTCCCATGCTCAAGATGCTTAGAGAGTCTGGACGTGCAACTTTTTTGGTGACAAACAGGTGATGACATTTTAACTTCCCCCATATACCCTTTCCATAGGTAGCTTTTAGCTTCAGAGAATTAGCATGAATATGTTCTATACCCAGAATAAAGAATTAGAATATATTCCAATAATATGCTTGGTTGATATGGTAAATATGTCAAAAATGAAGTTATTGATGCAATAACCAAGGTTTCTGATTTAGTCTGACTTGTTAGTTTACTAAACCTTTCTATTACTTCCAATTAGCTATTTCTTGAGGGGGATGTTTTATTCTTGTTCTTTAAATGTGTTCTTGTAAAGACAAACTTCTAGTTCAATACATAAGCCCATAAATCTTTTTGGAAATATATCACTTTCTCCTGGGTGGGGGATAATAGAAGTTGAAAGCAAATTTTCATCTGATTCTGACCAAAGATGAAAAACCAACTTGCCACGTTGCTGAACCATATTAAAACTCAATTCTCTGATGCTCTTTGCAAATGAACAAATGCCTGCCCCTCCTTCATTCTCTCCATCGCAAGCAAATCATGCAACTCACCAAACATGAAAAATCTACTGCACCAAATTCATAGTGTAATCAAACTAACCTCCTTGGATCTTTCTCTCTTATGGGTGATGTGGGCTATAGGTCTTTGTTCGTACTGTTAAGGATGAGTTCAACTCTTGGGAAGAACGTATTTTTCAGAAAGATCTGGTTTTTGACAAATTTAACTTTGACTTTGTAGAAGGATTAAATGTTCAGTAGGATTCACTAATGCTAATAAATAGCATGGCAAATGACTTGGTAAAGACTAGCAAATCAAAAATTGAAGGGAGGAGCACTTTGGGGAAAAAGAATAAAAGAAAAAATTTGAAGCGGAGCGAAAGCTTGCAAGTTGATTCAGGTTCTCTGTGCGTTTTCCACCTTAACATCTTTCCTTGTTTTGAGTGGGTGAGTGGTGATGCTATGTTTAAAGCATGATTCAAAATCCTACTCATTTATGCACTTAGGAACTTCCAAATTCTATTGATGGTCTTGTACTAGTGAAAAAATGATATGCACTCGCAACTTTTTCAGCAAAATTGTGTTCTTCCTTAATATATTCCTTAGAAGAAAAGAAGGAGATGAATTCTGTGGATAACAGCCATACATACTAGAATGATGTACTCTTGCAAATGTGAATTTTGATGGTTCTTTCTTGGCTGAGAATTATTAGCTTCTACAGGAATTTCCTAGATTTTTCAGTAAATTGATGCCAGCCATGTGGTCAAACTTTGAGCATTGATGGAGATAAAGAATTAGATAATTTATTGGCAGCTAGGTCTTTCATTAATTTGAAGGATAAGATAGCAAAATCGTAAAGTTGTTTTTAATGCAGCCTATGGGACTACACCAACATTGTCATGAACTTCCTTTGTGGACCCAGAAGTGTGGATGGCTGCTCACCTTTGAGTTTTGATTGGCTGAGGTACTTTGATGTGGTCATTACTGGCAGGTCAGTTTTTTCCTCTTAGCTGTAGTATATCCACTAATAAGCAGTAGGCCAAGCAGAATGTGTTTTATCTGTTTTCTTGATGCTGCTATTCTTGTAACTACTTCACACTTCTTACTTGCACTGGTCATATCATTTCTTTGAATCTAAACTTTTCAGTCGAGTCCTTTTGTTTTTATTTCTGACTTGGTGTGAAGTTGTATTTTCAATTTTAAGTGAGTAAGCTATTCTTGTCTTGCTGAACCAAAGGATATGCATGTGGACACGTAAGAATTTTCTGATGCCGTAAGTTCAATTGAACTTCTGTGATATGGCTCTTATGAGATTTCACCCTACAAAAAAAAAAAAGAAGAATAAATACTTGGCCAATGGCCATTGTGGATGACTTACTTTGGCTTAATTTCTCGAACACTTACTACAAGATCTGCCTAGAGTAAAGGTTTGGTTAAGTGGTTGGATGCAAAAGTGGCTTCCTTTGGTAACTTTCCACTTTCCAAATTGAAACGTTCTTTGGCTTGTGCCTGTCAATTCCACTAACACCGTAATCTTGTATTCTTAATGGTGCTTGTAGTAATGTGTATTTGTGGGTTTAATTGGGTCATCTTCAATAATTCTTTTTTAAACTTTTGGAGTCCTATTTTTGGTGACTTAGGACTGTGATAAGAGGTTTTAATTTTAATCCATTGTTCTTCTGCTCTTTTCAGCTTTTTCATAAGCTGAAAAAGTGACACTACAGTTGCCCATATTGGGGATGTTGGCAGTATTGGTATCCTAGATATAGATGGGGAAATAACGTTCATGTATGGAGTTGTTAGCTGACGTAGTGATGTTTCTGAAGTTGATTGATACTCGCACTATTGTTTTTTTTTTTTTTTTTTTTTTTATGATCAGTTTTCCCATACTGAAGGATTAAAGGAAACTACTGACCTGCAGTGCCAAGCCTGGTTTTTTCCATGATGAAGTTCGTGCCAATCTATTTGAGGTTGTTCCAGAGTCTGGCATGCTTCTCAATACTGATAATGGAACGCCTATGGCTCAGGTCAGTCTGATATCTTGTTGATCTTTATAAAATGACATCTCCCGCCATTCTGTTCTTTGATGTACCTCACTAACTACATCAGGTAGATATATGTTCCCTGATTATATGTTATTCCCAATCTCTTACATGTTTTGAGATCCATTATTGACTCTACCTTCTAGGTCTACACTATACTAGGTAGGAAATACTTTATTAAGACTGCCATCAAACGGTCTGAACAAGAAATGCAAAGTTTTCCAGGTAAATATTGAGCTTGAGATGTAGTAAAAAAATAGCCTCTATGCAAAAAAGTGAACATATATCATTTTCTTTTAGTATTCGTTTCCGAATTTGCAATCTTCTTATTATGATAGTTGAGTTCGTTATTTTCTTTCCAGGGAGGAAATGTCGGCCATCTGCATAAATTGTTATCTATTGAATCAAGCTCGCAGGTATTGGATTTATCAAAATTTTTTCCTTCACTTCTCTTATACTTTTCAGGCATTTACAAAGCGGTGTTGCTTCTGTTAGTGCAAATTGCTGCGAGTAAGCTAGAATTGATTACTTGTACAATCATTGCATTGGTACATACATAATTGCATGCAGGCTCCTTATGGCAGAGTGTTGAGAAATAAATTGTAGTATTTTTAATGATCATGCTTATAATTTTTGTTCTGATAAGGAAAGGAAGTAATAATTCAAAGATACATTATGCTGATGCTTATATTGTGTAAATTTTTATTGACTTTTATGGTGTAAAATCTGTTACTAATGGTCTGTTTTTAGGTACTCTATGTTGGGGATCACATTTATGGAGATATCCTACGCAGTAAAAAAGTTCTTGGTATACCTTCTACCATTTTCTCATGTGTTCCTATCCTATAATTTGCTTAAAGTTGAGTGCGAATAAAATTTCAAAAAGAACTTTATTTTTCAAATAAAAAGGATTCTTAGTTTTTTCTGAAACATCATAAATGTTTCCTGCATACCTCGTTGTAATATTAACATGCACTCAGTCAAGTTTATTGTCTACGAGATGAGGACACCATGCTTATAATTAACTGTTTGGCACAAAAAATGTTAGTCATTATCAAGCCTCCCAAAATTTTTGCTTTAAATTTTCTAAAATTCCTTTCATTTGCACGTCTTTGTTGTTGATGGAAATCTTTTTTTCCTTTTTGATTTTTCCCTTTGGTTAACTGGAGGAAGGAAGCTACCATACTTGAATCTGTTCAAAGAGCATGTGCATCCCAACGACATTTGATCATAATCTGGTGTATGATCTAGTAGAAGTTTTTACGCTTTCTTTTTTTTTTTTTTAATCTCAATGTGAATCATGTACTTGTTCACAGAATGTGTTATATGAGGTATCATCTATTTGTTCTACCTATATATGTAATCTGCTAGACGTCAGCTGGGCAGCAAATTAACTTAAATATTAAAATGGTAAACCTAATGCTCAATTCCTAATTGTTCTAGTTATGTTTTCTCCACTCACAACTTTGGTCCAACAAAAGTTACTATAATTAGTGGTGAGCTGCTGAAATGAATAGCATAGAGATATCACCATATCTAATGAGTGCTGTTCTCACCTGTTTTGTTTTCGAAAGCCAGAATGAAGTTGAAGATATGTCTTTTGAACAGGGTGGAGAACAATGCTTGTTGTTCCTGAGCTTGAGAGGGAGGTCGAACTTCTCTGGGAAATAAGGGATACACGCAAGGTGTAGATGCAACTAACCTCTTCAATCTTATTATACGCAGATAATAGACTTTTAAAAGCGAATACGGTTATCATTGTTTGTAATTGTTGCAAAATTAAATACTTTGTTATGAGAAATTGATTTTGGTTGATTTTAGTTGAATATTCTGGTAATTTTGCAACTCCGTCAAGACAACTCATTAAGTGAATGAGCCGGACAAATAAACTACCTCTTCTTTCACAAGAAAAGAAAATGATTTATTTTCCTTCATGGCTAAGTGAAGTAGATTCAAAAAGTGATTGTCTTCATATTATGTAATTAGAAAATAATGTAGTGACAATTTATGCTTTCAGAAGAAGGATAGGACTACTGAACTGTTTAGTAGAATAGTTTTCATGGAAACACTTATTAGATATTTCAAGGAAGTAGAAATTAATGATTGTTGTTGATTATTTCTCCTTTTCTATCTTCTCTGGTGTGTGCGTGCACATGTACGCGTGCGGGTTGTATTTTATTGTCTTTTGCAGAGAGCAGGTGATGTTTGAATGTTCACCAAATCATAGTTTCATGTGGAATAACTTTTAGTTTTTCTTTTCTTTACATTTTTCTACATGAAGAATATGAGAGGCATGCTAAAACGTGCTTCTCTCTAAATAACTAGGAAAAGCGAATAGGATTGAGTTGAGTGCTTGAGCAAATTCATACTCATTGAGATTACAATGGTGTCGACAATAACCAGAACGCACTTATATTATGTTTGAAATTCATGTTATTATCCTTATGTTCTTCCTCAAGTGATTAATTGTTCTCTGCAGCAACTTCAGTCGTTGAGGAGTGAGCGTGACCACATTGAAGATAAGATACATCATTTGAAGTGGTCTCTCATGTAAGTGCTCTCTTCTCTGTCAGTTATGTGTAGTAAACCACTACCTTCCTTTCTTCGGGCCCCAAAATGTGGATAAAAGTAAGAAAAAGTGAGTGAGGAGGCGGTTGTACCCCTTTGCTTTCTTTTTACCCTTGAACATTTTCGTTGTCCTGAAGTCACCCAAGTTTTGTTGGGTCCAAATCATATACGTGAAGATTTTTGGAGAATGGTTTCAGGAATTTATCTTATTTTGATATTCAGCATATTTCTCAATTTCACGCTTAAATGTTCGTATGATTCAGGTTTGAACACGTGGATATTAACAAGGAAGAGATGTCATCTGAGATTGAAAAACTACAGGTAGTTTATACACCTATTGAGGCATGAAATTGTCAAAGATGACTTTCAACCAACAAAATGTCTATACATTACTGACTTAATGAGAATAATAATATTAAACAACAATAACATTACTGTTTGGGCAAATAAATGATCCAAGACATTTTTGCTGTTTCCTTTTATATGCTGTACATGTAAATGCGTAGCTTGTTTCGCTTACAGTGGTTTGTAATCTTTTTATATTTACATATTTGTGAGTGTTGCTATTTATTCTCTGTGCTGGAAAGTATCATTGTCGTCCAAAGTGTCGACAGACGAGTTTCTGACTGAATAATTTTACTCCCAGTCTCTGAGAGAGCAAGTGAGGCTAAGTCACCAACAGGCCCAACGGAATGTCACCAAAAGGTAAGCAGTTCAAGTGTTTTATGTATCTTGCTTGGCCTTACAAACTTGACTTGCGTTTGGGAATAGAGAATGACGCTGGCATATTTTGGTGAAGATTGCCGAGTTCACAGAAAATCCATGTTCAGCATGACATTTCTGTGAAGCTTATTTCATATACGTTTTTTGAAATCTTTTCAGTTCCATAAAGCCTGGGGAAATGATGAAAACTGGCTATCAAATTCTCGCTTTGCGCATCAGGTGACAAAAATATTCATGAGTTTTTCCTCTCTTTTTTTTTTGGCAAGGAAGTATCCCCTTTTTTTTTTTCTTCTTTTCTTTTTCCCCTGAATTCAGTTGAGGATCTGTATCAGGTGGAGAGATTTGCTTGCCTCTATACAAGTCAAGTGACAAATTTGGGTCTCTATTCGCCAGACAAATACTACAGACCGAGTGAAGATTTCATGCCCCATGAATTTGATATCCTCTCTGTGTGAAAGCATTCTTCACTCTGGATTAGGTTGACTTGGCTTATGGGGCTTTATGGCTTTTGATGCTTGAATTGTCTTTTCATGGCAATTAATCTAGGGACGATAGAATTCTGTTTTAAGTTAAAGATCATGTAATTTTCTTTCCTGCAAATTGTGGTGTATATGGCAAGGTTGTAAATAAGTGATTTTTTTTTTTTTTTTTTTTTTTTAAAGAAAGGGTTCAAGGCATATGAGCCCTCCTGTATTTAGTCGTGTAAGAAAGGTAGGAATTTTAGCTAGTTGCATTCCATCGAACTAAAGCACCCCATTAATAAGCGATTTGTCTCCTAGCATCAGAAAAACGGTTTTATTGGTGGCGATGGATATCTCATCCGATTGTACTAATAACAAAGTACTTTAGCAAAATCATCAAACAGAGTGCCCGCTGATATTAGTGAAAGAAAATGACTGGCCGCAAAAGCTTCAGAAAGTGGATTTGAACCCAAGAAGAACAGTGTGCGGGTATTCTGTACTGTCTAACACGCTCTGATGCCGTGGAAGTATCATTGCAGGGAATTGCAATCTCACACAAACAGTCCTACTAGCGGACTTCATGAACATAAGCAATCAACCACATTGTGCGGCTCCGTCTTCCGTTTCTATTGTGGTTGGAGTTAATGGAGGTATTGCAGGATGAACAAGCAATAACAGGACTTCATGAACTATCTGCAGGTTTTGCGCAGACTGGCGGTCTATTGGGATTAATACTATTTGAACTCCTTATAGGATTTCCGCATTTACCACTGAACTTCCAGAGGGTGCCCATTATATTGATTTGAGTAGGCTCTTAATGTTTTTCGACGTCGGAGCAAGTGATTACAAAAGTAGACAAAATGTTAAGTTTTTGGTTTTTCATGCATCATTAAGATGAGGAAAAAGCATCATAGACTAAGCGTATATTGCTTTTATTGTCTGCAGAATGTTTTTCCTGCAGAATGTTGGTCATTATCAGCTTTGTTTTGCACAAATTACTTGAGGAGAAAAAGGAATATCTTGAATTTAAGAATAACAACTCTCAGAATGCTGTTTATACTATCTGCCAGTGATTGTTTTCATAGGCTGCCTTTGTACCACAACCTGAAAGTATGAATGACACAACTATTTTGTCTCCCGGTATAATTCAATTGGACTGCAAGATGATGGGGATTGTAGTGATACTGTTTCTGATGCTTCTGATCTTGTGCTCAAATTCTGGGCTTGCTGTATATTAGCTGGGTCCTTGATTGCTCTCTTTACTCAAATATACATATTGCAAAATGCTAACACTTTTATCTGCAAAGGCTCGGAATCTCAAACTAAAATTGCGTCCTTAGTGTCTGATCTTATGTCATTTCAATTCAACATCCTAAATGTTCAATCATGCCTCTGGTGCCCTGTAGTCAAGCATGTGATCTGTAACTACTTTTGATTTTACATCAGGAACTGTAATGAACTTTAGCTTTTCTCTGTCTTCTTAGTGGGCTTGTGAATGATATCCATTTGCAGGGATCAACGAGGGTGGAGTAGGGAACCGTTATCTGTTGTGTGAATTTCCAGAAGATGGACAGATGTGGTGATCTTGCTGAGTTCGACACTTCTCCCCTTGATCTTTCTTGACAAGATCAACCTTCAAAGTCTTCAACCTGACAAGATATGGATTCCGTACTAGCAAAGGTCATGGGAAACACTACTGCATTTTATAATTTCTGAAAATCGATGGGCATGACCATGACCGAGGTTGTGAAATAACAAACCATATGAAAGCGAACTGTTTAGTGCCTCGTAAAGGTAAATAATTCTGTTTACTGTGACTATAGCTGAGGATTACCTGGTCAATGTATCTCCTCATTCGATCTTCACGTATCATTCTTGAAGCAAATTTCTTCATATTGGTAATCACTTTTTCTTTTTTCTTTTTAATCTAATCATGATTCTTAATCATAATCTATTGGAGCCTACATTCACAATTATGCAATAATTTGTGTAATAGCATTTAGAATAGAATTGTATACTAAAATTAGGATTCTGCTCTCTCCACTAAATTTTTTCTTTTATATCAATCAATGTATTCTTATTTAATTTTGATTAAATTAAATTAGAAAAGAGATGCTCTTTAAGTTTTTCAAGGCTAAAGTTTCTTGCCCACGCAATTTCAATGTACTCAAGAAATTTAATCGGTTTCATTAGTGATAATTTATTTTCCAGTTTACCACCTGCTATAGTTGAATTCCTACAAGGGGCTCTTTATAGGAGCTGGAGTCCGCTTGTACACATGTTGTCTCTGTTTGATACATCAAGCAACTAAACGATGATGCATTTGGGTTCCATTCGTTGGGCTACAAACAAACTGAATCTGAAGCTTGGGTTTCAGTTCGAAACTTACATGAACATAGAATTTGAGGTCAAAGTCAGATTGGACCTATGTTGGATAGTATTGAGCTCGTTAAATTCTTTTTTTGTGCATTTCAACATATTTTTGCCAAAATTGGATATTTAAATTTACAAAAAAAATATAAAAGTCGATTTGAGCTTTAACTAGCTGAATTTTCATAAGTTTGAACTTAGATTCTATAAGCTCGAGCCAGAGTTGAGGTCCTAATATTTGAACGTTGTCAAGTTCGAACATTTTTTTTTTTTAAACATTATTGTTAGGTTTGAGCTTGAACCAAATTTTTTAACTTTCAGACAAATTAGAAATCCAAGTTTTGATTACAATTTTCTATTTTTTGAAACAAGGAAAAAATTTTAAGCTTCAAAAAAAAAAATTACTTTTAACACCTTGATGTGCTCCAGCTTGTAGCCTAGTTTAGTTCCAATTAAGCCTCATGTAGATGTGGGCTAGACAATAAATTATTGGAGTGCAAATAACATTTTAAAAATCCTAAATTATTGGAGTATGTCTTAAACGCACATTTCCCTAAACCTTAAAATATACTAGTAGTATGGGATTTGATTAAGAAAAGGAGAGCAAACTTACTAGTAGTAGAATACAAACTACGGCTCAGGCGGAACAGCCGTCCTTCTCCGCTACTTTCACCACCGACGGCGGTACTTCTTCTTCTTCCTTTTTTTTGGGGTAACGAGACATCTTATCACCATCCAAACAAAACCTGCATGCTTCACAATCTATTTAAAAAAAAAAAAAAAAATCTCACAGTTTGTACACTATAATATATTACTGGTTGAAACTCAAAAATTACATTTGGAGCCATTTTTGGAAAGTGAGAATGTTCGGTGAAGATGTCGGCTTCCTCCCGAATGCGAACCTTCCCAGCCCTAATCGGAACAGACTTTGGAAGGAGGAGGTACTGATCCATGTAGAATACTAATCCAAGGAAAAAAAAATAACTTCGGTTAGTATTAGTGTGACGGCCCCACCTTCCCATAAGGCGGATATTTTATGGCTTTAAATTAGTGCTTCTTTGTTGACTCATGCAAGTTATTACTTGATGCCCATAAATTTTGCTTGATATCCATGTAATGCTTGTTGGTTAGATGAAAATGAATGAATGATGTAAATTTTTCATATGGGTCTTTTGGAGCTTCGTTAGTTTCCTTTGATCATATTTGTGTGATTGTGTTCATTCGATTAGATTTTTGGTTAGTTGGTTTGGAATTTGTAAAATATCATTTCATTAGTTGCTAGAGTGCTTTTTATGCCAAGTTCCTTGTGACATAGATTGCACCCAACCCGCGCGCGATCGTGCCCAGTCGACTAAGTTTTGCAGCACTGTACATAATAGTCTTGGTAGAAAAGTTGGGACCGTTAGTAGTCCCACACCTTATTTCTCCAACTAAGTGCCAAATCTTGTAGGCTTAACTAAAGCATGAAAATTGTGTCACAAGTTGTTAGAATTATGTAGCATATATTAGAAGCTTGTGAAACGTTCTAGGCTATCCAAGAGCCATGTGGAATGATCTAGAATCTTGTGGATAAGATGCGATTTGTGTAAATGTTTCTAGAGTCCAAGTGTAGACACACTTTGTATAGAATATTTTTAGAGATCATGTTTAGGTGTACACTTTGTAGAATCCTTTAGAGATGTGTAATGTTTTTGACTTGTCTATAAATAGATCAAACCCTTTCCATTTGTAGTCTTGTACAAGAGTTTGAGTGTAATATAAGCTTTTCTTTGCCACACATACTTCTATCTTTGTCTACTACTCTTATGCTTCTACATAACTTCCGCATACTTTGTATTTAGACTGAAGTAGCCAACCGTTCATAGTTTAAGTCTTGAACGTTTGCTAGTGCCGCACAATGTGTTGGCTTATAGGAAAACAAGCAACCCGTGACACTTGTCTTGCTTGACAACTACCAAAAAAAGGGAAAACATAAAATAAAACAAAGGAACTTTCACTAATCAAAATGATGTTTGCGATTCATGATATTGGAGGATCAGTATATATTAAGAGATGGATTTTGTAGAATTTTGTTCATTCATTTTATCAAGAAACTTAAATTCATTCCATTCCAGCTTTTCAATGTGGAATACTAAGATTAATTATTTAAACCCAAAACTGTAAAAAATGTGAATAATTATAACATTTTTTTTTTTTTTTAGAATTGTGAAAGAATGACAATCAGGAAAGGTAAGAGTATTGGTGGCCTAGAATATTGGTTTAAATTTGACGAAGAAGAAGGAGCAAAAGTTAGAGTTTGGACCGGAACATTGAAGATGGTGGACCCTGTGAAGCGCTCATTTGTCGAAATGAAGGACAGGGAAGAGATGGAACGACATTCACCGTTCTCCGGGATACTAACCATGAACAATGTTGAGATATTTGATCAAATACATTGGTTTCTGGTTCAAAGAAATCACAGGAATTTTGGCTCGTCGTCGAGCCTTTGAATGGAAACTTGTTTACGCTTCTTTCTGAATACAAAAGGTCAAGAATAGAAAGTCCAATTGTCACTACTTTATGCATTATACAGTAAGTAATATTTAACTTTTCCATTGGTTTACAACTTGTTTAAATAGCATAAATTCATTGACATACGTTTTCAGGGAATTCATTGGTGGGCCTCAGTCTCGTGAAGAACAAATTAGCAATTGCAGATATATTTTATACTGGAAAGAAGGCTAAAATTGTCTGTGCACTGGCGAAACTTGATGAAACAAGAATTGATTGCACGACTAACAATTGGATAGTTGTTAAAAGCTTGTTTGCGCCTTTTCGGACGGGCGGAATGACTCTTAAGCATCTAGCTGAGAAAATCAAATTTTCATGGTACAGCTGATTATTCTGATAATTTTTGACCACTTTAGACTTTTCTTTCCTTTTCTGGCTGTTATTCTGGCAAGTCTTTCTTTTACGAGTTATCAAATAGATAGTCAGTATATTTTCTTGCAAATTGTTGATTTTTTCCTTTTTTTTTGTCCTTTTTTCTGATTCATTACTTGAATCACTGCCAATTGTGTAATGAAGTTTATATGTGATTTGCCAGCATAAGCACAGATGGTTCATATCCCTGTTAATAACCCTATTTTGTTTCTAACCTGTATTTTACGGTTCTAGTTACTTCTTGATTTGTTAGGGTATCCAAGTATAATTATTTTGTAATGACTTAGCCCTATTGTAAGAATAATATGATAGTATGTAACAATGTGGTATTTGAAAGGCTGTTAACAAAGAATAAGTAGCAATCATCAATTCTGGTTCTGAGTTCAGATTTACCTTCAAATTTCACTAACATATTTTTATTTTAGTCATGATGATGTTGTGAAGGCGGTAGCTCATCCTCTCTTCCTATCGAATATTGATAGATTTTGACTTGTAGTTGTTAGGAAATTGTAATAACTACAAGTACAGAAAATGACTTTGGCATGAATATTCACTTTGTTTAAGGAAATTTGCTTCTACTATTTTACTACCAGGTTTGCCGCAATTTTCAAGTGCCAATTTTTTGACCATTAAATTTATACTCTAATTCAATAGTCAACATGACAAATGTATCTGCAATTTTGAAGTTTCTCTCACCATCCAAATTTATTTGAATAGGTGTGCACTTGATTATAAATCTTTTTCATTTTCACACACTTTTAATGTGGGATTCATCATTAACTATTTCCTATAGTAGTTATGACATATGATCATTTTCACAGCAAAGCATTCAATCTAGAGTAATATGACAATTATAAGAAATCATTTATAAACACGTATAAGGAAAGGGGGTTAGTGTTTAGGAATTGGGCTGAAAGAATCAATGACGAGAAAAGCGAGTATTTTTATGTCTATCAGTTTCATCCCAAGGGACACGAAGGTACAGTGACGATAGTTGGGGTGTCCTTCACTTTGCACGAAAAAGCTATTTTCATGTTAATTTTGTAGACCACATCAATGTCGTGAGAACTGCAAGAAACCGTGGCAAGGTAATATATTTTAAGGTTAATTACCAAAAACCTTCTAATCTTAGTTTAGGATTAAATTTCATCTCTAAAGTTTCGACTATTAGGAACAGATAAAAAGGAAATGAAGTCATTGGAGCAAAATTGTATTATCTCTTTCTCGACCTGTTTATTACTATTTACGAGTTCTTCAATCGTCCAATACTTTTCTCTTTGATGAGGTAATATATTTTGACTTAATCTTTGAAAGAAATTGTCAGAATTATTATTGTCTAATAAGCTTTATTTTTACAGCAATCGCATGGTGCCGTTCAAGATATGTCGTTTGCAAATCAAGAAGAGATTGCGCTAACCTATAGCAGTTATGTCATTTCTCGCGAGAAGAAAACACGTAAGGGTTAAATACCAAAAACCCCCTGTGGTTTGCCTAATGTTCACTTTACCTCCCTATGGTTTGGAAACCTATAATTTGACTCCTTGTCGTTTCAACTAAAGTAAAAGTCTAACGGAAAACATCTAAACTAACGTCTGAAAGGAAAATGTCAAAATTGCCCCTCTATAAGGGTTTTGCGTTAAGTACCAAAAACCCCCCTGTGGTTTGTCAAATGTACACTTTACCTCCCTATGGTTTGAAAATATACAATTCAACTCCCTGTCGTTTCACCTAAAGTGAAAATCTAACAGAAATTCCGTTAAATACACTTTAGTTGAAATGACATGGAGTCAAATTGTAGGTTTTCAAATCATAGGGAGGTAAAGTGAACATTAGACAAACCACAGGGGGATTTTTGGTATTTAACCCAACACGTAATGATGGGAAAAGAAAAGCTGAGACTGGTGAATCATTAAAACAGAGCTAGAGTTGCAAATGAAATATCTGTCAAATTTAGAACATAATCCCCCTCCCCCTACCCCAAAACGCCCACCCCCTTAGTTAAGCTTTGAGTAGTTATTAAACATATAGTATAAGAATAAATGACCCCCTGCCAAGTCAGCATGATCGTCCGCCCATGTGGCGATTAGAGATTGGTTGGTGTTGATGATGTGAAACTGATGCTAGTTTTTTTTTTTTTTGCCTTGTTTATGCAAAATTTTAGAGATGTAATTATGTGAGTTTCAATGATTTTAACATTTTTCTTTAGTTTCAAATTTAAAATTCTCCATTCTATTATGTTTTTGCTCTGTTTTTCTTGATGTGTTGTAGCTGGACTAACTGTTTGCTACATTTACGTATTTTTCAAATTCGTGATGCATTTCTGCCAAGAAAAAGTATGTTGAAACCGAATTGCTCTTTCATTTGTTGGTTTCAAAGGTTTGTCATGCTTCATGCTGATAAAGATTAAAAAATTGTTACGATTTTCTTCCGTGCATCTAGAAGATGTTTATGTGTTTTCTCACAGTCATGAAATAGGATTGCATCTTTCTGCTTCTAGCATATGTAGCAGTGATTTCAATATAAAACTGAAAAATTAGTGCTGAACCCAGTTTTATGCATTGTCTCACTGTCGTGAAATAGCATTGCGTCTTTCTGCTTCTAGCATATGTAGCTGTGAATTCTCGACCCAAAACTGAAACATTAGTTGAAATTAGTTTTATACTATTGTGGATTTCAGAATTTTATTGACCATTCACAAAATGGGATGAATTCTCTGGAGAGACGCGTAAATGGTCTGGAGAAAGCTCTTGATGTGATGTGTAGTGATCTAGCAATATCAAAATGTGATGTGATGTGTAGAGAAAGCACTTGATGTGATGTGTAGTGATCTAGCAATATCAAAATGTGATGTGATGTGTAGAGAAAGCACTTGATGGACTCGGGGCATGGACGGTTGCAGGTGCAACCGTTTCTGTCAATTTTAGTCATTATCAACTGTGCGTAACTTTCTTTGTACATCGTGTAACTTTTTTTTTACAGGATGTATTTTCACAACAGATAGTGGTGGGCCCCACACTTGACGCGAAAATCGAGTTACATGGTGTTATCTCAGCCGCACAAAATTTTGAGGGCAAATCTTGGCCCTTAACTGTGCAGTATGACCGTCCCTGCCCCAAATCCGCACTTGATGTGTTGTGACGGGACCCTAGTCAACCATCGGCTCTGCCCCTTGTTTCTTCTCCTCTCTTCTTGATTTCGCTGATATTGGGTATTCATGGTGAATTTCTTTTTTTTTTTTTTCTGAGTAGCAATTGGTGGTGGGTTTTCAGATTCGTACAAACTTGAAAAAAATAGTTTGTTAAATTTCAATTGAAATTTTGCTTTTGCTAAAATTGGTGGAGGTGATTTGAAGCATTTGGCTAAACTCGTGAAGTTTTGGAGACTATTATACATGTTTCGTGATGTCACGGGCTGTGGTCATTGGCTGGCATTTGGTGGTTTGGCTCCAGAGATCAGCCGATCCCATTATGAAGCAAGAAAAACAATTGAAGAAGCCAAGAAGGAAATCCATTATAGTAATAAAAAGAAATTGAAAAATATTTAATAGATCCCGTTTGCAACATAACTTCCAAACAACTGAAAAGGAGGAATAGGCAAAACCTGTTACCATTGAGGAACTTTTGATACTCATTGCCATTGCCATTGTGAAATTCGAACAAACGGGAAGTCCCGAGGCCACACAACTCCCTATTTTGTTTTCTGCCCACCATTCGTTATCAAGTTCTCACGTTATGCTCCATGTATATACGTACATAACTTCAACAATCTTTTGCCGTTTCTACATGTGATATTTCGTCTCCTAGCATCAGAAAACGGTTTTATTGGTGGAGATGGATATCTCAATCCGATTGTACTAATAACAAAATACTTTAGCTGGATGCCTCTGAATTTGCGTGAGATCGTGAAAAACTAATGCTCGTAATTACATTGAATGGCTATTTACATTACATTTCATGCAGGACAAGTGCAAGAATCATAGCTTGCTTCAAACCTCTTTGATTTGGATCCAAAGGCTCATCGTCATTTTCTTGGAGGATCCCCAAATGAATCAAAGTTGTAGAAGGCTCTAAATCAATGACCTTTAGGAGGAGGCAACTTTCAAGCCTAAAGCCTTTCGACGCACACAAATTGACACGGACTGCTCGATACCAGGATGGGAAAAGATTTACTGGCAACATCACTCGGAGCTTGCCTAGTTCTCATCCTGCTTCTCTAGATCTTGAATATCCACTGGCTCAGGGAAAATCTCGCTCGAGGACCTTTTGTGTGAAGATGAGTATTCATTCATGCCACTTCCATGAGACCCGCTCTCCCTGTCTGTTTTAGATCACTGGCACCTTCTCTTCTTGTTTGGCCTGGAAAACTGGCACTCTCAGACGAGCTGTGATGCCAACTACCGAAGAATGCAGTGGTCCAATAACTTCTGGATGATGTTGTTCTTAGCCTTCCAGAGCTGAAATTTTCTTCCCTGACAATCTTGAAAGGATTTTCCAGTGCTCTGAGGATGTGTCTCATCAGGGGACGTCTGGAAGGCTTGGGATTTAGGCATGACTTGGCCACTATCGCCACAGCCCACACTTCTTCAAGTAGATCATCATCTATGATAAGAGACTGATCAATAATCTTACCCACCTGTTCCTTTTCGTGTATACTGATGTAAGATAGATTGCTTTCCAACCACTCATTTGTAGAGCCCTCATCTTCAAAATTGCAGATGTCCAGCTTACCCGAGACAAGCCCAAGTAAGAGCTTTCCAAAGCAATATACATCATAAGCACAACTTGCAGATGGTCCTGTTGATTTGCAAAGAGCATAGCATTTAAGCAATTGCCAATTGCATAACATAATATGTTTGGAAAACCCATTAAACTCTGTGGTTCAGATATTTAGAAGTCCCTAGTGCAATATTCAATGACCTATAGGCAAAGATAGTAGAAGTAGAAGCCTACAGGACTCTACAGGTTATTGCCAGAATGAAACAATTCTATGGAACCCAAAATCATGCATGAGTCAACAACATGGTTTGAAAAAACCCATTTCAATTAATCATAAGGTCTCCCCAACATGATATAATGTGATAGGCCAATAATGGATAAGTCAAAGGGGATTCAAGCTATGTGCAGGATTTTCGTCCTTGACCAAGTAGGAGACCGACCTCAAACATTGCCTAGTTGCTGATGCAAAACAAGTGATTAATCCTCAGCTATTTCTACTCATGAGTATGTACGGGAGTTTAGTGTACCTGAAGGTCCTTTATCAGGAGTCCTGCACGTTGACAAAATTAAAAAGGTTAATGTTTCTAACATAAAAAGATGAAACTAAGAGATCGCTTACATCAGGAAGTGGAAACTATACAAAAGCATGGGACCTTATCATCTTTGCTATTGAAATTGGCATGAATACACACCTAAAGAACTTGACATGACATCGTGTAAATTATCTTTTCTAGCTACTTTAAGCTTGCTTGTGATTCTCAAGCATGTTTTAGTTTAGAACACAATGCAGATAACCAGAAAACTGTTTCATCCCTGATAGTAGAGCACAGGAACCTTCCAGTAACGAACCTAATCACCCAATTAACTGGGAATATGACAAGTCCACTTTGCATGCACTCTGACATAAATTTTTTATAAATTAATATGAAAAGCTATTGTCAAATGCAGCACGAGTTGTGATAATGTAAATGGTAAAGTACTTACTGTGCCATCCAGAACATTCTTGAAATCCTTTGCTGACTGTTCTCCACTCCTTGCGCAAACTCACTTAAACTTCCAAGTCGTACTTCATATTGATCATCAAGAAGGATGCTGCTTGCTTGAATATCTCTTCAAACACAAAATAATAGTATGAATAAGATGACGAGGTAGTCAAGCAGGATTTCTTCTGAAACATTTGGATATGCATCATTGCCTTTAAATCTAGCCATACTTTGAATCAGTCCCGAATGTCATTAAGATATATAAAAGCTCTCTATAGTAGAAAGTAGGAATGATACATTACAGCCAGAAAGAAAGAAATGTGTGGTACCTGTGGACAAGTGGAGGATTACACTCATGGTGCAAGTAAGATAAAGCCTCAGCAGCTCCTATTGCAATTTTTAATCGTGTGATCCAATCCAAAGATTGTAAACAATCATCATCCAAATGGTTAACCCTGTAAAAGGAATTGGACAAGTCTCCATTTGGCATATATTTGTAAACCAAGATCTTTTCATTTTCAAGCTCTAAGCAATGACCAATAAGTTGGACTAGCCTTGGGTGATTTATCTTGTCAAAAAGATCCAATTCCGAAGTACATCTCCCTTTCTTGAGAACTTGTAAATCAACTCTCTTTATGGCTACTAGGTTTCCACCCTCTAATGTTCCACGGAATATGTCTCCAGAGTGACCATGCTTGATGAGGTTTGTTTCGCTGAAGTTATTTGTGGCATGGAGCACTTGCTCGTATGTAAATTCTTCTCCAAGACCTGAGAAGCACAAAGGAATCTGAGGAGGTGGCCTACTATCCTTTACTGAAACATGCCTGACTTCGCTGTTCCTCTTCCATTTCCACTTCGTTTGTTACATACTTTTAGCACATATGCTAATGCTACCCCTAAAATCAAAATGCAGCCAAGTCCACCAAAAGTTCCCACCAATATAAAGGTGAGTTTGTTTTTCTTCTTTGAATGTTCCGAAATTGGAGGTTCTGGTGACTCGGGAACATTGTTGCCATCAAAATGAAGGCCTCTCTTGGCATAAAATTTTTGGCAGTCCATTATACTCCTCTGATCTGGCAGGCTCTGAAAGCAATTGGTGCTGAGATTGACACTGCTTTTCGTAGTAGTAGGAGCCAATCCTTTCAAGAAGTTATTCGATAGATCAAGTGAGACATTTCCGCCATTTCAAAGGCACATTTCCGTAGAACAAATTGTTTGAGAAATTGAACTTGGTGCCGGCATTATCAGAGAAAGCAGTAAGGTTTGGCAATTCACCTGTGAAGTTATTCTCAGAGATATCTAGAAACAGTAAATGCGGCACTGACCGCAAGACATCAGGAAATTTACCATCAAATTTGTTGTTCCTGAGAACTACAAATTCCACAAATTTTTGATCCAAAAGTATTCTAGCTGGCAGAGCACCTTCTAGCTCATTATTCCCAATTAACAACTTCTGTAAACTACTTATGCGTCCTAAATCCTCAGGCAATGGCCCCGACAAAAAATTGTAACCAAGATCAAGCTCCACCAAGGCAGAAAGATTACCCAGCTGAGCAGGAACAGAAGAGCTGAAACTATTGTCGTGTAACCTAAGAACTTAAGACTAGAAAGTGAACCAATCTCAGTAGGAATCGCCCCAGAAAGGAAGTTTGACGACAAATCAAGACTACTAAGGTTCCTAAGAGCTGAAATAGCGCTAGGAATTGGCCCTGTTAATAAATTTTTTGAAAGATCAAGAACTGACAAGGAATTCAGCTTCCCCAATGCCGCTGGAATTGTCCCAGTAATCGTATTTTCAGACAAATGCAAAGAATTAAGCCTAAACAAACTTCCCAATGAGTCAGGAATTGATCCATAAATTGAACAAGACCTGAGATCAAGCACCTGTAATGTAGCTAGTCTTTGGCCTAACCATTCTGGAATTGGCCCAGGAAGTAGAAACCCTGAAGCATTGAAGGAAGATAATGAGGTCAAATTGCTTAAAGGATAAATAGCAAACCGTGGATTTCGCTTTCCAACCCGAGTTCTCCTTATCCCAGATAAGCTTATTCCTGTCACCTCCCATCTTGGCATTCAATCCCTGTCCAGTTTAAGCAAGGCTCGACCTTTTTGGGCCAGTATCGAGCTCTAATACCAAGGGATGCCCTGAGCTCCAGCAAAGCCCATCTTTCCGAGCCGGAGCTTGCTAGAACCTGCTCCGTCTGCATAAAGTTGAAAAGCAAGAGGGAAAGCAATGCAACCTTGAATTGACCGTCCATGACCCTTGGAACCAAAAATGAACTTGCTAAGGTCTGTAGCATGTCAATGATACAATCCAGCTGCCTCAAGGTGAAAAGTGCAATTTTGATTGAACATGCACAAGCACAACCTTTTACGCTGATTAGGCACTTGCTAAGGTCTATGTTATAGTAATCCAGCACCTTCAAGAATAAACACGTAATCTTGATTCAAAGTCATAACCCGATTCAGCGGTGAGTTCTACCATAAATTTGAGCTCCCTCAAGAAGAAAAAATGCAGTCTTGAGCTCTGTTTCCACTTTGGGACCGGTAAAGCAATAGAATGGAGCTTCCACCTTATTTCCACAGCAAATGTTGGTCTGCCCTGATCATTAAATGAATAAGCTTGGGACAGTGACAGCAAAATGGAGCATAAGAAACTAGTATGATAAATTTGTTTACCCAGCGTAGGAACTTGGTAGTTTGGCGGATCACCAGCTTTGCCTTTGATTCTTCAGTTTCAACACAGCAGAAAGGCTTTTGTTTTGGACCATAAATCAAATGAACGAGCCATGAGGGGTCGTAACTGTCCGAGTATCGACCGTGTATGACTGCTGTGCGTCCCTGTCTCTGACTCTGAGGGTAATAATGGCAGGAGGAAGTTAATAAGTAGTGGTATCTGGTATGGTAGTAAGGTGTTATTAATGGCAAGAGGGCATTCCACAACCGCCACAACCGTTCATTTCAATTTCAACACACGTCCCTTTCACTCTATCCAGACCACAGCTCCATTAATGCTGCAATACTATCCTGTGCACTCTGAAGTCGGATGACTGCTGAGTTGAACAGGTTGAGGTTTAAGAATTCTGAGTTGTGGGAACTGGGGAACGGGGATTATGATTATATTGGGAAGTGGAAGAAGACTCGAGGAATAACGGTATCCGTGTCTCTCCAGCCCCCAGTTCGCGCGCTTCTCTTGGTGTTTTGCAATTTCGCGTGGAAGTTTTGTTGTTTTCTGGAATCAAACTACTAGAGACTTTGGATTCAATAATGTCAAGTCAACCATCGCCATTAGTTTCCGGGAAACATAAAGGGTACTTAATAGGCCAAAAGATGAAGATAAGACTGAGTTGAGACGTATGAGGTTTGATTTTTCTTCTCTCTTTTAACTCATTAGAGATGGAGAGCATGAACTTTCTTCATTCGAGCAAGTAGACCCATCAACTGGTCCAAGACATCTATTGTGGTGTGAACAAGGAGGAAATAAAGTTTGCAATAACAAATTTTTATTTTCTTGATAACAGCATGTTATTAATTACCCACTACTACATCATTTCTATCTGTTCTGTTCTGTGACTAATCAAATCAATCGTGATTCTTCATGAGTTTGTAATTACATGACTAAATTAATTCTGCAAGCCATCTAAAACATCTTGGAACAATGAAATATGTGAATATGAATAGCTTGTTTATAGGGATAATGACACAGGTCAAACTACAATTACTAACCAAAAGTCATTGGTCAGAATCACAATCTGAAAAGAATATCTGGTTGAATTAAGTGACGACGTCTTCAATTCATGGTAACTAAACAGGCGCAGACCAATATTTAGCAAAGATTAGAAGCAAAAGTAATGTAATAAATTCCATATTCGCAGTTTTAGAAGTACTAACTATTCAGTTTGATTTATTCCAGTTAGAACCAAGGCACTAAGAACTAGGAGGCGGCTGGCTGATGGACTTAAAAACACGAAAAAAAGAAGATTCGGCGTCACTTTTTTTTTTTTTTTAACAGAAGAAAAGATCATTTCATTTAATAAGCCTACAATAATGACTAGAAAAAATACACGCGAATGCATATAGACTTAAAATCAATGAATACAATGAATCTAATAAATTTCAATAATGTCATTGGATGGACAATCAGACACTTGATTAAAGGTTGGATTATAGTTTTCACCAGGGATGACTAGGATTCGCGTCAGTTGACTTGGTCTTCTCCTAATCATGCACTACTCCAATCAATTATCAGCGTGCAGAATTATTACAAGAGACTATTCAATAATTGAATCCCTTTTTCACTTGAAATTGATGTTTTCCCTCTTGGACAGGGAAATTGTTGTTGTCCGATTCGAAGATATGATTCAACGTCCACATTGATTATTGTTACCAAATTGGCTACAACAGTTGCATACTTCCGCGTGAGTCAACTCCAAGTGCCTATCGCCTACGTGTACGTTGAAACTTTGATCCCTCGCTCTAACTAGGGTCGGGCAAAAAATTCGATCCGATCCGAAACTCGATCAACCCGATCTGATTCAATTCGAAAAATAGGATATTCGATCCAATTTTTCTTGGCGTGGCAGATGCGGGTCGAGTACCCGCAAAAACGGATACGGATACGGATCAGCAAAATAAAAATCCGCGGGTACCCGACCCGCAGAGTATATTATATAAATATTAAAAAAATAAGAATCCATTATATAATTTTATAATTTTTAATCCTAAGTGTAAGTAAAGTGGTTGACAACCTCATATTTTAATCTTATATGATCCGCCTCTCATCATCTTGTCTAGAATAAGTGAATATTTTTGGTGAAACCTGAACCAAATGAATAAAACAAAGAAAAATTTGTGAAACTCTATCATAAAAATTGTTCATCCCTTTTATCATTTTTCATTTTTATTCTTCTTCTATCGATCTTTTCTGTAAAATTTTGATCAATTCAATCAAAAATTTGTGTTTGGAGCTCCAATTTTCTGTTAGCTAGATAATTAAAACATTTGTGTCTCTTAAATTTGTTTCCTTTATTTTAGTGCAAGAATTTTGTTTTTCTTTTTCATCACCTTTAATGCAACAAGGTCTATTCCAAAGATGTGAGAAAGTTGGGGAAAATTTTTCAAGATTATTTTGGTTATATTTTCTTCAAAAATTATTAACTCTGTTCAATTCTTTTCCGGACATGATTCCATAATCGACTCATTTTGGATGCAATCTTGTACCATAATATCCTTAAGGAAGTTGGAAAAGTTGCTATATACTTATTATTCTTGTGTTTGTTATGTTGTAAAAGGATGAAATGCGTGAGAATGATGATATACTCAAAATTATTATAAAACTTCATTTTATCCTTGTGTTTGTTATACTTGGAAAAGTTGGAAAAGTTGCCATACACTTATTATTCTTGTGTTTGTTATGTTATAGAAGAATGAAATGCGTGAGAATGGTGATGTACTCAAAATTATTATAAAATTTCGTTTTATCTATTAGATATTATAATTCTAATATGTACTAAATTTATAAAATCGGTTTGATTATTGGATAAAATGTGTGAGAATGGTGATGCATGAATTTTGATTATAATATATCTACCAATGTTAATTGGAAAGCATATTTTTTTTTATTGAAAAATATGTTGATATTAAGTGAAAAATATTTTTTTTATTGGAAAATAGTTTTTTTTAGGGACGGGTACCCTATGACCCGCCCCTTTTTTTCGAGTACCCGAAAACATTAGGAGTGGTTAGGATCGCAAAATGGCTGATCTGATATTTTATGATCGAGTCAGCTATATCTTGTTAGGGACGGGTACCCGACCCGTGCCCACCCCAAACTCTAACATGACTCGATTTAAGGTTGACTCTTCATTGCTCAGTAAATTAATTTGCAAAAGGTTTGTAATATGACTCAATTTAATGTTGACTCTTTATTGGTCAATAAATTAATTTGCAAAAGCGAAATCAGAATCCATAATTGAAATTCCATTGCAAAAAGTTCTTATTAATTTGATTAGTTTGTTGCGACGGCCTACCGCTACTTGTTACAACAATTTCTATAAGTTACAAATTATGGAAAAAGAAACATACACATAGTAGATAGAGGATTATTTGCTTACATTATCATTACAATTTTCAACACATCTTTTTATCTTTTCAATTATCTTTTTATCTCACATACATCAAATCACAAAAAATACTACAGTAAAAATATCTCAAATAATTTACAATCCAAACAGAGCCAGTGTAATTTGAACTCCGAATTTTTTTTAACTTTTTCGATCTCAATCTTGATTGCTAGACTAAGGATGCATATGAACATGGACTTGGGAATGCTTGGCTATCATAATCCTAATGCTTCAATGGGCTCAAAGGTACCCCGAGTCCTTATGTACCATGCTAAAAAACTGATACCCACTTTGCTACGCTTGAAACCAATCGTTCGGGATCGGGTAAGAGGGCCCAAACGTATTTTGTTATATGGTGTACAAGAAAGAAACTGAAAAAACCAAATGGATTTGGACAGAGCCTTTTTAGAAAAAGTAAAAAATGTTTTCAGTAGGATGCTGGGCTTACGCTTGTCACGGGCTTCTGTTCATTGTTCTCGGGTTTTTGAGGAAGCATGCATGGTTCCCTTTAGGTTCTGTTATTTCCAAGACTTCGTCCTTTCTCTTATGAAACTATTTAATATTCGTCTACAATTGACTGAAAAAAAAAGAGCAGTTTAATGAGATTAATTAGCTTTGTCTCTCCTAATTTGCTCCCCTAGACTCGATGCTAGTAGCGTTGTTCATATTGTTCAACATTATGATCAGTTGATCAGTCCAAGGCAATCTAGGAAAATAAGGAGCTGCATGCAGGGTTTAGTTTGGGACCTAAATGCTGAAGTCTCATTCTAGTGATGGAAAGTATGTGTAAATAGCTTCATATGTGACTACATTAGTAGCCAGTTTAAAGACCTTAACACTAGCCTGTTAGGCTTTTATCCTGACGATCAGCTGATTTCAAATGGTTCCAAAAGTACATTGCCAAAGCAGCAATTTGACCTTCTACTTTGGCAAGGGGACAAACTTTTGAACTCTGAACTGACATGAAAGACTTCCACATATTCTCAGGTCTTCCACTGAAAAGAGAAAGCCATCCACGTGCTTTTCTGAGCATAATGAATTTATTGTCTTCTTTCTGCATTCTGTGATAGCTGCAGGAAGATAAAAATGGCAATGCCACTCTGTGAGCTATAGATTATTTATCTCTGTAAGCAACCTTAAAATCACCTGATCACAGAAATATTTTGCTTGGATATGGTTCATGGGCTACGTCATAGTATAAGGACATTTCAGAATTGCTTTTCCGTATTACAAGTATTTCAGCTGAGAAATAAAAGGTGGGTAGAAAATTTTATTTACCTCCTTGTTTTATGTGATGAATCTCAGTACCAAAGATAGCATAAAGAGGCAAGAATCCTTATCTTACCCTTGAAGGAGGCCCTGCTGAATCTTCGTACAGTATCTGCTTGTCAAATCAACCTTCATTTTTTTGGGTCCTAGACAATTCCCGGATCTATCCCTGATGCATGGGATGTTAGGTTCTCTCTATTCATTCCGGGCTGGAAAATTCTGCACTTTTTATCACCTTCCTAGCTGACAGTTCCATTAGATAATCCTTCTGATATTATCCTCAACAGATTCAGTGCTAAGCAAAGCGGAGATGTGTAAGTAGTTCAACTTGCATCGAAAATTTGAGAAAAACTAGGAACATTCATTCGTTTGTTATTTAACCCCTTCTTTGCTTAAACGAACTATCAAGTACGAAGTTTGAATACTGAAAAAATTCAAATTGTGGGCAAGTTTGGTTTTGGTGGAGGCAGCCCAAGTGGATAAGTAGGTGGGGATCAGCTTTGACATCCTTTCATATGCCAACATGCTTTTGTAACTATTCTCTGGTATTTCAGCATGAACTGCTCTGAAAAGAATTGGCTAATTACATCTAATATCAAGAAAAGTTCTAATATGATTTGTTGGTCATCAAAAGCTATACTTTTTTAACTTTGGCCCCCCAAAAGATCAAGGTCCTTTCCCTGAACAAATGAGGAATTTCCACTTTTGCAACTCTGAACATGATTTTGTAAAACCTATATGAATAAGGACAAGATTGGTAGGCAACACACTTAATCTTCGAATCAGTCTGAAGAATCTCCAAAGGAATCAAAAGTTTACATCTTGGACCATTGGGACTGAGGGTATCCATCTATCCTTCAACTTGTAAGCGGAGAGTCAGGAACCACGAAGAAAGTAGGCAAAGTTTTCTGAAAGATTTTGAAAGTGAAAGGATTGGTATCTGCAAAGGACTTTCTGCTGCATATGATCAAGGATGA